CAGATAAACAGATATCAAATCCATTTAATAAATCATGTAGTTTACTTTGTTTTTTAAAGAATATGCAATATGAGTATATGTAATGTTTTCTTGGGAAAAGAGTCCATCCTAACAAAAATATTGAATTCAATATAATATTTGACACTGCATCTCTTCAGCTAGCTCATTAGTTTTGAGTGTATTTGTTTATAGCCATTCGAATGTTTATCAATTAACAATGATCTGTATTTTGACTTCGGTATCTTTACTGTTGAGAAAACTGTAGAACCAAAATATGCATTCACTTTTAAAGCACTCATTTTATAACTGGATACTGTGCAGATGGCACTAAATTCAAATAATTTGTTATTCACTCTTGTTTTCAATCATACATCTGTTTCTGATCTAATAATCCCAAGTTCTAGTTCGCTCACATTTTCTTTGAACACGGAAAAAATAAGTTCAGCATTCTCAGATTCTCATTTTTATGAGTCTTGAAATGATCAGTAATTAAAGGACACTGTGAACTTCATACAATCAAAGTACTTAAATCTTCTTTCAAACTCTTAATAGTTTATCAATACACAGAACGTAGACAGATGCATCAAATGTACACATCCGTGCAACTCTGAACACTTGGAAAGAGGGTTAACACACCTTTCATGAATGAAAGAATGAACTATGACATCATTTTGTTGATTCTTGCCATGTAGCTCAGTATCCACCTCATTTTGCTTAGCAGTAAGCTCTGTAAGGAAAGCAAGATCTAGCAACGACAAAGAAACTTTTAATTCTGTAAGTAAATCACCTCTGTCCCAAAGAAACTCCACAATTGCTACAAGCAGCTCTTGGAACCTGAATAAAACTTTCCTCTATATAGCAAATGGACTTCAGTATCTTCTTGTGTTTCTTCTATGACGCAACAGCCCGAAGTCGAGCCTTGGCCTCCTTAATGGACGTCAGTATGTACGAGTAATATCAAGTCTCCATAATGTGCATCGGTTTTGTCTTACAGATATTTGATATTCATCACGTTTAAATCTGATCACTCTTATAGAGCTGCTGATGAATGACACAGTGGTAACTAAGAAGACTCGGAAAGCAAGACCTCTTCTGCAAAGGGTCCAAGAGGTACAGTGGGCGTTCAAAGGAAGATTTTTGCTCTCCAGGATCAAGATAAGTTGGGAGTTTACCACAAGCTACTGGGTTTTACAAACACAATATTCTTTGCATTAAAGTCACAAACAGGAGTGAATGGTGGAGGTAGTTCAGTTATTAAGTTTATCTGACTGGCTCAAGTTACTGTTGTGTTTTGGTGCATTAGTGATCAGTTCATTCTCAGGTCTTAAAAGGGAACAATAATGCCTGTCATATATAAGGTAAATGAACTATAGTTCAGATGCAGAATCAGTGACCAGGACAGATATTGGGCTCTTCATATTTGTCGTTGAACGTGTGCTATGCATCTCAGTGGGTGGTTTAATGGAAAATAATACACTACACAATTTGCTCTGCCTGTGGTTTGGAAAGAACCAGAAGACGATACCTCCGACTGCTACTTCTGCATGATTGATGTTGCCAGGCACACATCTAAAAGCAAGTGTTCCATCAAATACCCAAATCTGCCCTTAGCTATGAGACTGGTGCCACACTGTCAGGAGTTGAAAAACCAGAGCCCTGCCACCTTGAGAATGATGCCAAGGTGGCTTTGGACAACAGAGAAATTGTCGCAGAGTATGTACTACCACATTAAAAAAACTATTAAACAACCCAAGAAGAGAAGATTTCCGTCTTCTGGGTTGTTGCGCTGTGTAGTCTGGTTGATGTTAACCAACGTTTCAGAGGTCATACTGCCTCCATCATCAGGGCAATGAATATGTCTTACAACCCAAGAAGAATTAAAAGATTTTGTATGACTTGACCTTTTAGGTACAGCATTTAAATTACTGTGGTCTTTGCACATTTCTGGATTTAACTGGAATTTGAATGATCTCAGACTGCTGCATGTTACAAAATACACTATATTTATTGCATTTATTTAGCTAAAAACTCAATAAAACTCTGTTATTTAGAATGAACCCATGTACATAACATAGGTTTCATAATAATCAGTCTTTATACACATACTTACATTATATTTATTTTGTTATTCAGATTTATTTCCATATTTCAATAAATCATTCTTTGAATCTAACCTCTCACTGCATATTTAGAATGGTAGAAAATCTTGGAGTTGACTGTACTTGTCTTTGAACTACTACAAGCATTTTGTTTGGTTTGCCAACCCTCATAGTGAAATGAATACAAACTTTCTCTTTGGTGGTAATTTGATTACAGACTTGTTCATCAACAATGAGTAGTTTCAAATATGAAAAGTAAAAATGGCCAAAGGCATACAGATCCATATTTGGAATAAACCCCTTTAGCACACATCACACGAAGTGCAGGCTTCATCAAAAGTTTGTTTCATCTGTGAATCAGTCTGCTCTGGTTGGTGTCGGAGGCCAGAACAAATATGAATGAAAGACTTTGTTTCTATCACCGGAAGCAAATTTCATGAAATCTGCAGCAAGTTGACAAGAAGGCTTACAAGTTAATTGTAGACCTAATCAGTTAGTCTAAAATATGATCAATATCCCACTTGATAAATGTGATTAGGATGATAACATGATGGTATCACCCCCATTTGCATTCCATGGTGAGTCCGAATGGGAAGAACCCATGGACACAGCTGGCAAAGTACAGAATATGGCATAAACAAGGGCTCTAATCCATCTTCGGTTTTCATATTCCTTCATTTCCTCAAACAAAGCTGATTTTGCATGTTTACACCATTAATGAAACAATACAGTTGAACTACATACCTTACCATTTAGTATGAAAGAAAGTGCAAGTAAAATGCAAGGAGAGTTGTGTCAGACGGTGTACTGGCATTTTAAAGAGTACAAGAAACACTAAATGTGGCATATTGTGGAGTGTTGATGGCTTTCAAAGACGTAAAAGAAAATTAAATGTATTTTGCAATGTGTTCCACTGATTGAAAAGCAACAGTAGCAAAATGTGTGAAGCTCAGCATATGGTTCACTCGTAGGATGAGATACCACAATTTACAGCCAAACATATGGGTCGCTCATAAGATAAAAATTAAGTTTCTCTAAAAATGTGCATTCACATTTTGGATTTCTATTACATACGAGTAGTAAATTACACTAAAGTAAAAGTGGAATCAACTTTTTATAGGTTTATTTTTTCCTTCAAAATCTTTGATATATTCTGAATAAAAGTAAATAAATATTTACTATTACATTTTTTACATGAGCGTAACATTATAGGAAATAAAAGTGACTGAATTCCTAAAGATTAGAAAATTTATTTGGTTCTTTCTCAGAAACCCTGTGAGATACAGAATTTTTGTTGTCAGATTTGGAATCAGTAGGCCAACATCTATACAGAAAATTAAACATCATTCAGGAAGCTATAGAAAATAGTTAAAATTAGTTTTCCAGAGTAATTATATCTTTCTATAAATTTTAATAAATGTGACATTTATGTAAAAAAAAGGATCCATTTTCAGAATAGAACTATACACAGGCCTGAAGGTGGCAATATGAATTTGATGAAACATTTGTCATTTTATAGTTCTGTGTCACTGATTAATAACATAATTGGTCAAATTAACACATAAGAATCATTTTACTGATGAACATTTGGCAGGACGCCCATACCTAATCAACAGAAAAACCTAAGACACATGTGAAGATGGCTGTCTTCTGGGTTGTAACGCCATGTAGTCTGGTAGAAGTTTACCAACGTTTCAGAGGTCCTTGCTGCCTCCATCATCAGGGCAATGACATGAGTTTGGTATTAAGGCTCAACTGTGTATAGTTTAATTTCAATGCTTCTATCTGTCTCCATGTTTCAATGCTTAAGCAAAGTATTTGTACTGTCCATTACTCAGTAGAGAAGCACCTTGGACCCATTTGGAAGTCAAAAAGGGGTAAATCTGTAGCTAGAAATCTCTCCATTACAGTTCAGAAGATATTGCACTGTAGTCTAGTCAAGCTCTGTGTGAAAATTAATTCAACTTCATTTTCTAACTTTCTAGTATTTTCTGAACCTGTTCATAACAGTAAGTTAGTAACAATATTATGTTAATAAACAATCAAAAGAAATTAACAATTCACGTATCAACAGTTCCACATCTGTTCTTGTGACCACGTGGATGTGAGCTTCCTTTGTGTTTGTCATATCAGGGCGATATAAAGCACTAAACATGTTTACCGTAAAGAATTTAATCAGAAAATGCAAATCTTACAACAAACATCTTTGTACATTTCATGAGTAGTATCTGTAGTCACCTAAACCCAAGAAAGTGTATATTTTAAAGTTAAAAAATATAAAAAGTTGCACGAAAATGAATGTGTAACCAGTAGGAAGACAGCAGCCACAGTGCAACATACCCAATTACAATGCACCAGCACATGCTGCAGGCTCCACAGATGGTTTTCAATGAATCAATACAGTACTGCTGACACTGCACTTCCTGGATCCAAATCTATACATGGCTTCTGTGTGTGAAGAAACTTGAAACAGAAGTTTGCAGAAATAATCAATATACTTTAAAGAATTTAAACATGAATTCTGGGAGCTACTGTAATAATGTAAGCGGCTTTAATAAAAATGTTTCTGAACTGCAGATGGAGCCTCTAACCACATCATGTGGTAGCCTGCTATGGTCTTACATGAAACAAGCCATCCACTGGCCAGTGTCTCGCTATATGAACAGGAAGCAATATGGCTGTAAGTTAAGGAATTTACGTGCCTGCATATACAGGTGATTACTGAATGATTTATTAAAAACATCACACAGGAAACTGTCCACACTCCACCGTGTATGTGCTGATGTATCTTCTATTGAATACTTTCACTTCTTAATCATTATGCCTGTAAAGTGTGTAATTATAATTACACACTTTACAGGCATAATGATTAAGAAGTGAAAGTATTCAATAGAAGATACATCAGCACATACACGGTGGAGTGTGGACAGTTTCCTGTGTGATGTTTTTAATAAATATAAGCATATGTCCCTTCAGAATACTCCTCCTACTGAAGGACTTATCACATTTATTGCAAGAATATGGCCGCTCCCCACTATGTATGCGTTGATGTACCTTGAGATGACTCCTCTGACTGAATGATTTATTACATAAATGACAGGAATAGGGCCGCTCCCCACTATGTACATGTAGATGCCTCTTCAGGAGACTCCTACGACTGAAAGCTTTATTACACACATCACAAGAATGTGGCTGCTCCCCACTGTGTGTGCTTTGATGTATCTTCAGATGATTTCTCCGACCAAAAGACTTATTACACACATCACAGGTATATGGCCGCTCACCACTATGTATGCGCTGGTGAATCATCAAATGACTCCTCCAACTGAACGATTTATTACACACATTGCAGGAATATGCACGCTCCTCACCATGTATCAGATTACCTTCATTCAGAAGACTCTGGTAAATAGAAATAGAAAAATATTAGGTTGCACTGCTTTGCTCTTGCAGGATTTCCACTATGACGGGTTACTAGTCCACAAACAGGTCTGCGTATCATAAGCTGGGCCACCTCAGTGGGGATCTACCCCCTTAACAAACACACAGGGACAATGCCTCACTGGCCCTGCTTTTGCTGGGTTTCAAACCCCTGGGATTCTACAATCTTAGGTTAAATATCCAAAGCCTCAAGAGGATCACAACTGTTCTTAAGAGAATTGACAGCAATGCCACTTCTGTTCCAGGTAATGCTCATCACACTCGAGAAGATAATGCACAATTCTATATATCTAAGAAACATGTCTAACAATGTACAGACAGACATACAACTCACCTCGTGATCAGTCTGTACTGCTGGAAAATTCTTTAGCAAGCTATCCTCCTGTTCTTGTACATATGTGGTACCTTCAACTTTTATATCAATGACCTCATTACCATCATGAGAAGATGGGAGACGTGTCTCACTGCACGAACTAGGTACTTCAACGCAGTTCTGCAAGACACCAGACAATTACCAACCATGAACATGCTCTCTCATACACATCCTTTGGGATCACTGTATACTCAGCAAACTGACAATATATGTACACATTTTCTTCTTTACAACTATCAAAATCTTAACAAAGAAAAGAAACCGTGGAAATATATATTTAACATTAAAACCCAAATTTCAATGCATAATTTACAGCAAGATACAAACTATGCTACATTATTCTTATGCAAAACAATTTCATAACCGGATATGGGAGGATTGAAACCTGTCCTGGTTGTTCTGAGGCCTGTCTTATTGTAGCGATTAAATCCCTGGGATTTATTGAAGGGAATGGAGGGCCCTTTAGATGTTGGCCTAGCCCTCTGTAGAGTGGGCAGTTGTGGTGAAGCAAAGCAGTGAATTTCAAAAGCCATAATAGGTGAGACTCACAGAGGAATCTAGAGGACAAAGCCCCTGGGAAAGCAAGCAAAGGTGATCAGGCTACAGTGAACAAGCATACTTGGGAAAGTCCTAGGTGTTAAAGACCCAGGAGTTAAAAGCCCAGCTTGTGCAGGCACAGTGGGTATTTAGGATTTGAGGTTTTCACAGTGGTGAGTCTGAAGATTGCTGTCTTCTGGGTTATTGTGCCATGTAGTCTGGTAGATTTCCACCAATGTTTCAGAGGTCATACTGCCTCTGTCATCAGGGCGATGAACATGCCAATTGAAGACCGCAATCTTCATAGCGGGTATTATTTGGTGATATCTCCAGTGTATGTGATCCCCAGAAGTAGCCTAATCCTGAGGGTGACCAAAACCTTGGGAGCAGCCCCGATTCATCCAAGGCCTGGGTGATCTAAAGAGAGAGTGTAGCAGCACAGGGGTTTCTAACAAAGCAAAGGTGGGCACATGGTTATGTAACGCCCATAACAAGGCAGGCCAAATACAGGGAAAGTCTGGGGCGAAAGAACCAGAGCTGGGGTGGAAGCCACCACCTGGGAAAAGTGGGGGTGGGAGGAACCATTACGAGTGTAGCCCCTTTGTGCTCGCTTCATCCCTTGGGAGAGCCGTTCACGTTAGCACGTTAAATAGTTTCTACGAAAAACGCAAAAGATAACAGTCAGATATGGGAGCACTCATTAAGTGTTCTCGTGTACTTCACTTACAGTACAGCATTAAGAACACCAAAAATTTCAGTATAATGAACTTTATGCACTTATAAACTGTATTTATAATACTTAAAAGCAATAAACCAAAGTAATAAAGTAAATCTTATTGTTTTTATGATGTTCAATGAATTCTTGTCTTGAATAGGTGGCACACTAACTGTTTGTACAGATACTTGTGAGCATAAAAACAAATAACCCCTTGCTGTTACTAAAACGACCTTTTTAACATTTATGTGATGAGGTAATTATCCTTTATCAGCCAGTTTTATATATGATCCCTTTAACAGCTATGTGTCAACACTTATGCACAGTCCAGATGGCAGCACACTGCAGTAGGAAACTTGTAAACATGTAATTCCAAAGTTAAAATCATGTTGTATGCAGGTTTAAATCCCCTATTCCCCTATGATAAAGGTTATTGTGCATTCTCTGAAAAGTACTCAGACCCCAAAGTACTTCAATAATATTTAGTCTACACATTATGCCACGGGGGACACGCAGAGCCATAGTTTCACTAGCCATTTCAAATCAAGCCATTTGCACATCAGTTTCTTCAGTGTTTGATATGCCACTTATCTTTTGGAATCATAAGCTTCTTTATCAATAGATTCTACTATCACTGACACAATATTGTATCATTAATCAATCTATTCTGCACTACACTGCAGACTAGGGAAATTACAGAATTTGGAAGATTCTTGGGACAAGCTTCATTCCCAGGAAATATCGTCATCAGAACATGTTCATTCTATAGTTTATTAAACAGACAATGAAGACATGTACATATCTGTATGTTCTCAATATCTAGCACACATTTAACAAACTATTTGAAAGAAAGAATGGTGTTTCTCAATTCTGAAATGAACAATTCTGTTCACCATTTCAGGGTTGAATATATATATATTCAGATATAACTCGGGAAGTGTTAATACATTCAAAATCACACAATACACAATATTTCATTCAACTGAACTTTTTTTTTCTTAACATGGCCAACTTGTTGCTGCACTACAAAAGAATTCTGTTATACCAACATCCGTTACTGCTAATGTACTCTGGTAGTGGACAAAAATATTTCCATCACAATGAAAACTGGAATTCATTATAGTAAGATTTTACTGTATACAAGACACCCTTTGAAAGAACATCATCACTACTGTTATGATTACATAGCTGATTTTCAAATTGTCATACTTTTGGACATTTAAACTTGGGGGCACCTTACCTGCTTGCAACAGGAAGTCTGTTACTCTGAATCACATATATATCTCATGTTGAGTAAAGGTACAGAATGAAAAAATGCTATTCAATTCAGATCATGTATTTTAATTGTGTTCTTACAGGACTTGATCATTACAGTGGCATGGCAGGCGTATTGTTAACATGTTCTGATTTGGATGTCATATTATAAGTGACTTTAATTGTAAAGATGAACGCACAAGATGGCACACGGACAGAGGGTCACAAAACTGAACAGAAGACCTACCTCAAGTTCAGGCTTCTTTATGGAAAATACTGATGGTACATACACCTCATCAGTTCCCAGGCCAACAGAATCTTCTTCGCTCAGAATATCCACATCATTTTCTACTTTGATTAAATCTATGTTCTGCTGTAAAATTATAAATAAAAGATAATTCTGTTAACCAATGCACATATGCCAAATACAAATGCAAAACAACAAAGAATGTAAAAAAGCAGACATCACATTGGCACTACTAAAATTCTAATATCATAATCAAGGGCAGCAAGCACTTCTGAAACATCAGTAAACTTCTACCAGATTGAATGGTGCAACATATCAGAAGACTGTCGTCGTCTTAACATCAAACATTTTCAGGACAAGATGGTATCCAACAACCTATTTACACATATAATGTTGTGGCAGTTGAGAAATGTGGAAAAATCCTGTGTGGGAAGAAAATTGATAAAGCTTGTGTTACGCTGGATGCACAATGGTTTGTCAAGACAAGACAGTCTTATTCACACGTACACACTTTGCCATTTATGGGAAACGCACGCCAGTTAGACTTGAGTCAGACATGCCTCTTTTTGAATAAAGGAATAGTGCATGCACCATTCCAGTTTTTCTGTCTTAAACAACTCACTAACATCGATTTCATTCCTGTGCTGTGTTGTACTGCATTGTGGCAGCATATTTTGGATCAGAATGTGACAGATTAAAGAGAATTGGGAAGAATCAAATCTTATAAAATCTCACCCTCAACATAAATTTTCAGACATTTATATTCCTTTCATATTTACGGGTGAAAAAGCACACTGTCTTAATAAAACCTTTTCAGACCCTTCTCCTGAAGAAGTTCAGCATCTGATGATAAATTATAAGAATATGCAATTATAAACATACAGTGAGGGATACTTCAAAATGTTCAGTATTTTTTTTCCATTCCTTTGGTGAATACTTGCTTTTACTACAAACTCAGTGCAGAATTCTCATACTACCTTGCATGTTTACTTTTACAACACAACTGCCTGTTGTGGAGCTGACTCTAAATTAATATTTTAACACTGCAGTGTAGAAAGCTGAATAATTAAAACAGTATTTTAGTGAATGCATCTGCTGCCATTACAGTGCAAAATGCTATAATTCTATCAATAAATTAGCCTGTAAAAATGTGCAGTAGTCCAGTTATTACGTAGAGTGCTGGCATTAACATGTAACATGGTCATTAAACAAGTTATAAAGTGAACTAACAAACTACATGGCTTAAGGAACCCAAAGATTCATCACCGAATTAAAAAAAGCCCTCCACCAGTCTCTGTCCTGGGCCAGCAATCGCCTTCAACTCTATCTCCCATAGACCCTGCTTGATATTATCCTCCCATCTACATCAAGGTCTCCCCAACAGTCTCTTCCAACTCAGGCTTTCTAATACCCAGTGTACACCTCTTGCCCCATCCATGTGCACCACATGCCCTGCCCATCTCATTCTTCTTGACTTAATCACACTGACAATATGGGGGAAGCATTCATTGGAGTTTGATCTTTGATTTTTTACTAAGGAAACCCACATTATCCATGGTAACCAAACAAGCATGGAGACACCCCACCCAGTAATTCTGGCACACAGAAACACAAGCAGGTATTCATGTAGCATTGCTACAATTGTTGCATAATTTAAACTACAACAGCAATGTGTTGACATAATTTAGTTACAGCTTCCCAACATCAAATTTAACGAAAATCTTTTTCATTTGACTCCACAACGTTCCAGTAAATACAAACAACATCCGTCATTATTTATGTGAAACTGTGAACTTTTCCTTATAATAGTTCAATTCAAGGATTAACATTTTCTGAGGTGCTTTTACCACCCATAGTGAAACAATAAACAAAATTGACCCAAGGTTCGCGGGTTCAAACCCGGCTGAGGTCAATGGATTTTTAAGGGTGATAAACATCTGTAGCAGAACTTCCTTCGAAGGGGAGGTAAAGCCGGTGGTCCCATGTCGTAGATTTAAGGCGTGTAAAAGAATCTTACAAGCAAGAATGAGATGTTCTGTAAGCAAAATTCAGCTGTCATTTCTGACCCATGTCTGTCCTGATTCTCTACTAGATGGCTCTAGAACACAAATCAGGATTGTGTAGAAGTTGTGCACAGGCAGTGGGCTTGTCACTCATTACTCAAATGCACCCTACAAGACTTATAAGGACAAGTTGCCTTGAGCAACTATCCCAGAATGGGTCAATAGGCCTATTCCTTGAAGTGGAAATGAATGGTTCACAAGATACGCAAATAAGAAAGCATGTCTACTCAGAACTGGATATTTTTTTTTCATTTGCAGTGCCACAGTTTTGTAATTATACATAAGGCATGATGTGGAAACACGTCATTTCCAACATGACAAAAATTGCACATTATGCTCACATCAATGTTCCAGATCCTTAGCAGTAATGACAACTCTTCCTCACATATTATGGATACAGATTTTACAAAAATTACACAAGTAACAAATGACAACCTTCAACCTTAAAAAATTCACAGTTCATGGGAAAACTTATAATGTATTCAATGACAGGTAGTGGTATCAAAATGAGGATAACTAGAAATGTTGGACAAACTACCCAACAGCTACAATATTTTTAATTTACACAACATTTATAAGGTACGTTCATTTATAAACCAGAACATAACCGTCTCTTCCTGGCTCCAGGCTGGAACCACACAATTTGCAGCCAAGCACTACAAAGTTTGTTAATATAAGTCGAGTATCACTACAGTTGAACAATAAAATCAAATTACTGATTTTACAGCAGTTCCAGGCAGAAGCCACGAAGTGACAGCTGCATTCCAGTTTATCGGTGAATGCACTGTGCCATGACTAAAAACTGACTTCAGAGAAAATAGATATGGTACTCCAAAAACAATCTGAAACAAAATACAATCGTCTCGAGACATTTTGAAAGGATTTTTCAAAATCCAAGTCGACACATTTTGAAAGGATTTTTCAAAATCCATTCACCAGAGTGGAATTACTACAGAGAGATGCAGATGTGAAAGACAGTAAGTAACTAGAATATAACTATGTACACATAGACACACAACTTACCTCAAATTCAGGCTTTATTACTGGAAATTGTATTAGCAGAGGATCATCCTCCTCATTTTCTGTATCTGTGAAATCTTCAGCTTTTATACTGATGACCTGATTTCCATCATGAGAAGGTGTGAGACATGTCTCACTACACAAATCAGGTACAACTTTCAAATAATCAATGCACTTCTGTAAAACAACGTACCACATACCAAACAATAATAACTGTGCACTCTCATTATGACACACAATACATTTTCAATGCAATCATTTTGCACAGTATCAAAGTTATAACAACAGTTTCATACAGATTATATTCTTTATATGAATCATAATTATTACTAATAAATTAAATTTCAAAAACATACACTTCATTTTAAAAACGCAACTTCAATGTACAATTTAATATAAGACACAACGCTACATTATTCTTATAACAGGAAAGTTACATGATGGCTGTCTTCTGGGTTGTAGCTCCGTGTAGTCTGGTAGAAGTTTGCTGTTTCAGAGGACCTTGCTGACTCCATCATCAGAGTAATGAGATCATCACCCTTACATTGGTAAACTTCTACCAGACTAATGGCACTACAACCCAGAAGACAGCCATCTTGAGACTCACTGTTGTGAAAACCTCAAATCCTACTTCGGAAAACTACATAATTCAAGCAAGTTAAATAGCCTAATTTTATTATTTTTATGTGTTAATGGTAAACATTGCCTTGTGCTAAAATTAGGCTATTTAACTTGCTTGAATTATGTAGTTTTCCAAAGTAGGATTTGAGGTTTTCACAACAGTGAGTCTCAAGATGGCTGTCTTCTGGGTTGTAGTGCCATTAGTCTGGTAGAAGTTTACCAATGTAAGGGTGATGATCTCATTACTCTGATGATGGAGTCAGCAAGGTCCTCTGAAACAGCAAACTTCTACCAGACTACACGGAGCTACAACCCAGAAGACAGCCATCATGTAACTTTCCTGTTATAAAAATAATGTAATGTTGTGTGTTATATTAAATTGTACATTGAAATTGCATTTTTAAAATGAAGTGTATGTTTTTGAAATTTAATTTATTAGTAATAATTATGATTCATATAAAGAATATAATCTGTATGAAACTGTTGTTATAACTTTGATACTGTGCAAAATGATTGCATTGAAAATGTATTGTGTGTCATAATGAGAGTGCACAGTTATTATTGTTTGGTATGTGGTACGTTGTTTTACAGAAGTGCATTGATTATTTGAAAGTTGTACCTGATTTGTATAGTGAGACATGTCTCACACCTTCTCATGATGGAAATCAGGTCATCAGTATAAAAGCTGAAGATTTCACAGATACAGAAAATGAGGAGGAGGATCCTCTGCTAATAAAATTTCCAGTAATAAAGCCTGAATTTGAGGTAAGTTGTGTGTCTATGTGTACATAGTTATATTCTAGTTACTTACTGTCTTTCACATCTGCATCTCTCTGTAGTAATTCCACTCTGGTGAATGGATTTTGAAAAATCCTTTCAAAATGTGTCGACTCGATTGTATTTTGTTTCAGATTGTTTTTGGAGTACCATATCTATTTTATCTGAAGTCTTATAGTGTATACATTATAAATTCCAACATTTAAAATAAACTTTTATAAACCTTTCCCAACCTAAAATTTACTTAACCGAAATTAAAGAAATATAACCTAACATAACTTCACTTACCCAAATGGATCTGACAGCCTACTCTAACGTGTCATATATGTTCTAACTAACCTGTCACAACAAAAAACAATCTTCATATACACAAACACTCCTGATAATTCCTACTTAAATCAGTAGGAACCACGATTACCATAGTAACAATGGAGAACATTAAAAAAACAAAATTTGTTCTTACTATGCACGTTGTGCAAAGGACACATTACAACAAATTCCAATGGGTTTATTTCTTATGTGAAATAAAAATGCAAGACAAGACACAGAATATATATAAACAGATTCCACATTCAACATTATAAACATAAATGCGGGGCTTCAGAAAAGAGCACATGGTGTCCACACACTAAAACCAAATACTTTTAGGATAAAACTACACCTGGCAACCATTTTGACATCAAAAGTTCTTACTTAGAGTCAAGAAATGTGGCAATGTCATGTGCTGGAAGAAGACTCAAGACAGTGTCCTTGTCTGAGACATGACCAACAGAAAACAGCAGACAGTCACGTGCTCTGTCACTGAAGTCCTGGCCAAAGAGGGGTGCGTTCTATCATTCCCCACTTCCTTCCATGGGTGATGGCTGTTTGTTCATGGTCCTACTTCAATAAGGTGTCTTTGTAGCTGAATTTCAGGAATGAAACAATTAATCCTGTATTCCTGTCGACATTCGCTGTGCTCGAAAAGTCAAGAATATGCATAAATATCTGTTACCTCACTTATCATATTCCTGTCGACATTCGCTATGCTCGAAAAGTCAAGAAGATGCATAAATATCTGTTACCTCACTTATCACATCACTCCAATTATGATGGAAGAGACTGTCTGAAACATTGAAAATTATTTTCACACTCCTATGGTTGGTTACCCCAGAATAATTGCATTCACAGGTCTTAAAAGTTTTGAATCACATATAAAAATGCTCAGTATTCAAACTTCTTGATGGGTTTATATGTATATGAGAATTTTTATGATAGAATAGCCAATTCTCAGGTTGTGTAGTGCTTCATATGATACTTTTGCTTCATTAATCTTTGATTTCGCCACAAGTAATTAAGGAAGACAGGAACACAAAATTTACAAACTGGATACTGAATGGAATTCTAAATCAGGTAATTTATGGGTAGGTATCAGGTTTATACAGCCAATCTCAGTAACTGTAATTCAAGGCATGGGTCTTCATTGTTTGGATACTGGGATCATGGGTTCAAAGCCTGCTCAAAGCATTGATGTTTGTCTTCATCGCTCCATGTTGTGCAGCCCTGTGTAGGTATAGGCCTTGCAATGGGCTAACCCCTCATCCAAGGAGACGTAACAACTGTTTAAGAACAGCTCTGAAATCTCACATAATGAGGCAGCTAAGTTTCTTTCACAAATGTAAGGCCACTGAGAAAAAAATTAGTTTCACATAACCTCAATTACAATTACTCTTCATATGCAGAAAGTACATAACCTAGACTAACATTACTGACACATAATTAGCCCCCATTCAATCCCAATTCAATCAATTATCACAAAGAACGACAAAATATTTAAATCTTTTTTTATGCATTGTCACATTCAATGAAATTCACAACATGTAAATAGAATCTCTGTAATGTGCATGCAGACTTCTGAGGATGGAAAATGAAAAATAACATGGTTGTAACAAAATATTTCCTTTCTTTGACTTGTAAAGTGAACAAGCTAATTACACACATTTCTGTGCACATTAGCACAGAACACTCAACCCTTCAGAGGTAACATTCCTTCAACCCTCAAAACCATAATTTTTGGTTCTCTCATTGAACGAAACAAGTATGAAGTTATTCCATTCACTTGTGAGTCATGTGCTTTTCTCTCTGCAGTTTTTTTATCCTGATTCAGGATCTCCATTTATCCCTGAAGTTCATATGTGATTAAGCAGTTCTGCACTGTAATCTCCAGCAATAACTAGTTTCTCTATAAACAGAGTTCTCAATCTACAGGCCAATGTGGCATATCAACATGTCTTTCATGGCCAACACATATTTTAAAAAATATTGCACAACGCTGTACAAAGGAAAAAAATACTGCCTATATTAAATAAATATCTCCAATTGCTTAACTTAAAATACAAGCATTTGGTGCATGTGCTTCAGAAACGTAAGCATTGTCATTAAAACAAAACAAAATATTCTTCACATTTACCTGTGCCACTTCCTATATCACCATCTAGTCATTTGAAGATCCTTTTCTTTTTCCTTTCTCCTTTAAAAATTCTGTATCATGGACACCACCAATAATGTTACTACCGAAGTCTGGTCAGTCAGACCGCTTCCATAAAATAACAGTGAATAAGTAACACAAAATTATAGTTGCTCACAAACTGAAGTGATAAGGGGGTTTACTATGGAGCATTACATAAGCACACTGGAAAGGTACTTGCTGAACCAATAACAAAACATACTCTCAGAAGTGATTTCATATCCACAGACCAAAACATGGTAAAAAAATGTGAAATCCACAAATATCCTTATGGGTGAACTTTACATATTCAAAACACATTCCTAGAAAATCAATAAGATAATTACAGCTTTGCAGCATATTTAATGACACCTAACCTTACTATTATCATTCTATCACTGCCTCTCTCTCAGGTGTTCTATTCTTTAAATTTTCCCCAACTAAAATTTACTACAGATTACTTGACCTTCCGTATTCATACTACATGACCTTCATTTGGTCAACCCTAGGAGCATATGGAGAAGTGAACAAACTGTGAAGTTTATAATAGATTATATCGAATAAAATATAACAGTATGAAGTTACCTGATGTTCTCAAAGTAGCAAAAAGGCTCTATTCTACATTGCAGTGCCATTTGAAGGCGCTTTTTCAGTATATCAGACTACATCCTGAGGATGACAGTGAACAGTGTGTTAGAAAGGGAAATGGTCAAGGCACAATTTGAAAGTACTATCCTGCCACTTGCATGGAAGGACTGAGAAAAATCACAAAAAATCCGAGTCAGGATAGCCGGTCTCCGGGTCCAGACTTTAACCCAAGACCTCCCGAATACGAAGCAGAAATGCGAACCATTAAAAGTCTACCTTCATCAGGGCAGATGATGGAGGCAGCAACAAAAAGTTCTTCACTGTGCGAAAAAAATATTCTCCGTCATCCTGTTACTTCCTCTCGTTTAGGTCTGATTATTTTCGTAGCATTTCATCTTCGTGCTTCCCGTTCCATGAAAAGTCAAGTTTCATACTCAAAAATGGCACACACTACCAGAACCTTCCGTTATGTACACAGCACAGATTATAGAACACACAAAAATTAATCAGAATGGAGAGAAAAGATTCTGAGCCTTAATCCTTAAGCACAGGTAATAAAAGGCCACGGACATAACCAAACTGTCGTACGTAAGTCACTTGTGGTCGAAATGGAAATAATAATGACCAAACTAATTTAACGAATTCGATGTCTAGCCTGCCAAGTGGAATCATAAGATAATTAAGTGGAATGAGAGAAGGTGTAATGAATTGATTCTGATGATTTGCTAAAGAAAAGAAGGTTGTCTCACCTATTGGTGTAGGCATCAGAGCAGCTGTTGAATTGTACTACGTTGATGTGGTCTTCGACACTGTGATCTGTCTACGTCAAGTAATCCTGACGGTAGTGTACTAACCATATTAAACTGCAGTTACACACTGAAGCTGGGCAAAATAAAGCAAAGACTCACCAACACTCCAATCTAACGTTTCACTGTACAACGATTGACCTAGAGGTCTAAACCCCTCAAAAGGTACCCAACGTGAAAGAAGTGTTATTTTCCTTACAGCAAAACTGCAAATTAAAAAAGAAAACGTCCTATAAAGAGAGAAGTTTAAGGAAACAACACACTAATTAAGTCATAATGCTTTCACATACACTAATAAACATGACATTCGATGTTTAACAAACACAGTCATCACACACGTATCTTTATCATCTGTTTACAATGGATAAAAGCGGAGATCGAAATTCACAGGCTTGTTAAATATTGCATTTCATATAAATCACGGTGTACATGTTATTCTTCTGTGGAGACTGTAACACAATAACATCCAATCAAGCAGATGAACCGAGGGCAGGGGATATAAAATCAGCTACGGATTTGTAACACACACTCCAGAATTTCTCTGCCAATGATACAGAAAATCTTATATAAATGTCTATAACACAGTATCGAATTTATCAGGCTTGTTATCAGGTAACAGTATTCCTTTGACTCAGATACTGCCTCACTGAGTGATATGAAGTAACTAACTCCATGGAATATAATCCTTGAAAAACCAAGGTACTCCGTTGCTGTAATTTATGAAGTTTCATGTGTCTACAAGAATGCACCACTAAGCCACATTAATTCAATCCACAAACTCATATTCTGTTTAAGATCCACTTTAATAATACTATTCCATCTATGTTTAGGTCTCCAAACAGTCTCTTATTTTCAGGTTCTCCGACTTAATTATGTGTGAATTTTGATAAAATTCATGGCAGCTACTTGTATTTCTAGGCTTGCCATATACAAGTGGCCGCAAACATGTTGATCACGCCTGCTCTTAGTTGCTGCAGGACAAATGTTTCAGCTCCAATAGCACACAGCCATTGAGGGCAGCAGGGCAGCCAATGGAGAGAAGTTTAATGCTCTATTCAAGTAACCACAGCCCATGATGTTGGCATAATAATCGACAATACGTAGCCATCACATCCAGCCTGGTATTAGGCACTGGATAGTGGCACCCATAAGCAATTGACATACGCTCCAACAAGAATTATTAAGTTGGACCGAGCGAGTGTTATTTTACCTCCTCATTAAAAAAATATTACCCTTTTGGTATAATACCACTTTCCAGCCACACACATAACAAGCAATCATAATAATTATGAAGAAAGGAAATTTGATTTGCATAAAAAAGTACACACGCAGACTTCTTACCCTTCTATATAGATTATGGAATATCCAGTGGTTATCGTGATAGCATGAAAATACAAAACATGCCTCTAGTACAAAATACGATAATATACTTAGCATAATTGCAGCCAAATGACAGAAGCTCAGTATTTTAAAAGCTATCTACTACCAGAAACAGCTGCAAATGTTGGAGCTATGTAATTTGATATGGACCAATGTTTTATCATGATGATACATGCAACAAAATTTCACTGGCTATACCAGCGATATTGGAAACAATTTATATTTTTTTCTACAATTTTCTTTCCTGTAAGAACTCAATACAATAAAGAGCAGAAATTTTACAAAAATTACATGCAGTAACAGACGGACTAAAAATATCACATGCGCATGGCACGTAAAACAAATAACACGATACAAACCATGGAAAATACATATGTGCATCACACACAGTTAATTTCCATATTAATGGAATTATAAATACATAGCATATAAAATATGAACAGTTTAAAATAAAAATAAAATAATATGTACATATCTACAGATAAAATATATGCTTCAAAATCATATCAGGTACTGGTTAAATTTAACCTTCACTCTGTGCAAGCCCATTCTGCAATTACAGGTTCAAAAATAAAAACACAGATGACTTTGAATGAACCGGGGGGTACTGACAATGTGAGCCAAACAACCATAAACTTTGACTCTAAATCAAACTCACATCCTCACAACCTATTTATCAAAGACCCATTTTAATATTATCCTTCTATGTACGAGGTGCGATCGGAAAGTTTCAAGACTGCGCCTATAAAAACCCGTACACTTATCTCAGGTATTAAATTCATCCATCACCCTCGAAGTAGTTCCCCTGGGAGTGAACACAACGATCCCAGCGCCGCT